CTAGCGTTTTTATACATCGTCCGCCTTCCCAAGATCCCTTGCAAAGAAAATTTATGCGCAGGATACTCCAATGAGATCGTCGTCTTCCTCTCCGTCCCCGAAGAGGGAAAGCCAAACACCGCCTCCCTCTGAACCTAGGAAAGGGGGCAAGGCATGCCCAGTTCGCTGTTTGGTGAGGGAGACCCCACGCGCCAGCGTGGCACCACAGTGAGATGACGTGGAATCCCATGCGCAAAGTCGCTCCCTGATGCAGCCAGGTTGACTCAAGCAAGGCAGAATACCCCGTACAGCTGCTGGGTCGACGCTGCTTCGGAGTGTTGCTCTCGGCGGCTGACAAAAGCTTGGCCAACGACTTTTGTGTCAAGAGGAGCCGGCGACGTGGTTTTTCCCGATTGTCCGCGTCCGTCGCCGTCCCGGTGCAGGGTTGACTCATCAACAGCTGCCAGGTGCCAGCAGGCCGCGAAGACCACGTGGAACTTGGGCGAGGCACAACAGCGTTTAACAATAACAATCTATGGTCACCTTGCCGGCGCCTGATGGGTGGTCGAAAGTCGTTTCCCGAGAAGTCGGCAGAGTGCCAACTCCGTTCGCTGTAGCCGATCGGCGGCGCTTAGAGACGTTAGTTGTAAGTGCGATTTTGTGCAATTGAAACTATGTATATTTTCACAGTCACGCGGATATTGTTCGTTTCAAGTGAAAGTTTAGTGAGGCCCGTTATGTGTGGGCTCGACTGTATATGAATACGAATCGAACTTGAACTTCCCGAATAATTCGATTCGCGAATCCAATCTTGTGTACTTGGTTACTCAAATACAGTGCAGACCACTTATAATGTATTCACTTATAGGGCAGAACTGCTTACTAAGGGGTCTTTTTTTTCAACTCCAGTTTACCCTCCGATAGAACACCATTTGTATGCATATACCTGATCTTGCAGTCCTCTAAAATGAAAGACCGGTTATAATGTGGTTGCTGGAAAATCTTTGTGACAAACTCGGTAGCTAGTGTGAGACCGCTGAGAATTGGGCGACGAGGTCATTAGAGAGGAGGAGGAAACCCAGAGTGAATGAACGAGGGACAGAGGGAGTGGGGGAGAAGGGAGGAGACCGCGGCAGTGCTGTGCAAGCTTGCCGAGTGAGGGAAGAGGGTGGTTTACTATGTGATAGAGAAGCCTTTGCACTGGTGCTGGCGTGGCTCCGGCCGCGTGCCGGTCGCGTGCGCTCTCCATGGCACGTGCAGTCACGTCCTCATCAAGTGAGTTTCCTGTCTGAAAAAGCGCCATCGTTGTCACTCTTACTACAGGTATTGCGTTCGCTACCTCTTCAGTGAATTTCCAAGTTTTGTTTTACGGCTTTATGACACAATCTTTCACCTTTCCTGCCAGTACACGAACTTGCGTAAGCTTTGCGGGATTTTGTTGTCGTCAATCTCACTACCGTGCGCTGCTCTTGTTTTAGTACAGTAGACTCTCAGTAAATGGAACCTGAAGGGACTGGGAAAATGTGTTCCATTTCACAGGAGTTCTGTTTACCGAGAGATGAACATGGGTGCAGAACACAAGCATGAACCAAGTATCGCAGAGGCGATAGTACCATTTAAGCAGTAGTTTCGTTTAACAGATTTTCCTTACTGAGAGTCTACTATACTTGAGTGAGATATTTTCGACGCCTAATCTTCATGTAGTCTTGGACAAACTGCCCGCAACAATTTATCGGGCAGCAGGCTAGGCCTAATCAGCGTTGGTTGCTGAGTGGGAGTGGTCGTGGGCAGTCAAAGTTGCAATTGGGTGTGAAAGCAACGAAATTCTTTTTGTTAGCTGCACTTGAAAGAAGGGATACCTATCAATAATGAAACAAGGCCATGGGTGACAGATATGTGTAACACTCGAACGGTGGTTCGCAATTCGATTGCATAGTCTTGAAATCGGGTGTGTGCCTGTGAAATCAAATGATTGGTATTGTTTAGCTTGCGAAACTTCAGTCAGGATTCCATGTACAGTAAAACATCGTTACAATGAAGCGGGATATATCGAAGCAATTGTAATTCCTCTTGAATTTCCCATAGACGCCATAGATTCACAATGGATATAACGAAGCATTCTTCATCTGCAATGAGCATTTACTGATCATAAAAAAGTGGCCAAAGATTTCGGCGATGTCACTGGGTGCCGCAGGCGACCAGGCCCAGACGTCGTGGTTTGCTCTCCTTGACGCTGGTGTTGATGCTGACGCGGTGACAACCGAGGTTTTGTCAGATGCGGAAATGGTTCCCACGGTGACGGGAGTGCATGGTGACAGTGACGAATGTGTTGACACCGTGAGCCTAATGTTGGTGAAACCGACATACCGACGCCCGCACAAGCGCTGGATGTGACAGAGCTGTTGTGCTGCTTCTTTGGTGCTTACTATGACGGGGAGGACGGTCTCTAAACAGCTGCTGCAGCTGAAAAAGCAGTCACCCGCATAAGGGTCAGCAAACGTCAATAATATTAAGGATCAATTTTCTTCCAAGTGATCTGCCAGCTGGTGTGCTGAATTTGGCGGTAATAAAGTGCATTGTTCTTTGTTATTTTGCTATTTTTTGCCTTCCGACGGCCGTTTTCCTCTTTGCGGTGGGCTACTCTGATATTCGTTGGCGTGTACATTTTCTCTTGCTGGCTAATTGTCGGTACAAATGAATATTGGCTATAACGAATTAATTGTTAGAATGAAGTAATTTCAACTCCCCTTTTCAACTTTATTATAACGAGGTTTAACTGTAGTTTGTGTAGTGTGAATAATCAAGGCAGTTTGAAAGGTGGTCTGCAAATTTCCGCGCTGGTGCTTTCTTTTATTAGCCCCCTCCCCTCTCTTTCATATTCATTTCGTTGCATGTGTCTTTGGATATTAAGTTTTAGCGTTCAAAAATTTAACTTGTTGTAAACACCCTGCATCACATGCTTCTATTCTGGGACACCTGAGGCTGCATGCTCAACACGTTTCAGGCAACTGCAGCTTTTGAAAAGGGTTGGTTTGTTTACACAGTCGGTGTCCGATCTCGGACACCTTAAATTCCGGATATGCCTGATTTCCCGGACTCATCTGTGGCACTGTCATATTCCCCATAGAGTCAATGTACTAAAAAGTCTGAAATTTTGGACGTTTATAGCTTTTGCCATTTCATTTTTCGAACTTCTTACCGCTAACCACAGACTCAGTCACTATCGACGTCGACATTTTGGTTGTTGTCGTACCCTCGAACCCAGCATACTCGCATCGCAGGTGTGGCTAGCAGTGGCCAGCAGCACAGCACCGCAAATGCCCAAATCTAGTGCACGCCAATGCGTTGCCAGCCATAGCTTAGTCAAACCTGTGGCCACAGGCGCATGGTGCTGCGCTCCAATAGTGGGAGAAGCTATGCTATTGACTGGCGTGCTTGCAGACTCGGGGAAGGCAGTTATGCGACAGACCCCCTGGAATTGTTTTCGCCACGCGAGCTTCATACTGGACACCGAGGCGGCTGTCCCACCCAGAGGGAACAGCGTGTGCGGGGAACTTCCACCCGCAGACGTTGCCTTTGACAATCTGCACGCTGCCAACGTTTCGATTCCAGCCGGAATAACCTCCAAGGCCATCGCCGGTATTGACAAAGACCTCAGGCTGTGTGCGAAATTAACCGATGACGAAATCCTTCGTCAACTTACGAAGGACTCCGACACGGAGATCGAAGAGGGAGCGCCTACACAGCCAACGAGCTCGGAGTTGAGGCCAGAACTGATGACACTGTCATCTGTGTACAGCAACAGCATGATGTTAGCTGAAATTGAGACAGACATCATCGCGGGCAAGTGCCAAGTGCCAAGGCAAACGAAAATTAGAGACTTTTACTGCGCCGAAGTGTTTACAAATGGTTAGTTGCGGCCACATTTTTTCTTTATTTTTTTTATGTAAACAGCTCTGTTAGAGTCACCTGAATCATGCATTCGCTGAATTAAAATGAGAGTCCTTTACTGATGCCGTGATATCCTCCGTCAGGAAAAAAGACCTATATAAAAAAGATGCGTTGTCTCATGCATTTGTTTTCCGGGCTGCCCGATTTTTCAGACGTTTTTGCAGTCACTTGAGGATCTGGTAAATCGGACGTCAGCTCTGGTGTGGATATTTGCGACTCCTGCGATTAATGTTATAAGCGGTGTATGCTGTGTGTAATATAAACTCAAACCTCGATATTACGAACCCAGATATAACAAAATATCGGTTATAATGAAGCAAATGATGAATATGTTTGCTATATATTGTCAGGAATATACCTTTGTAACGAATTTTCAAATATAAAAAACTTATTTTCATGTAAGATGCAACTTCGTTATAATGAGGTTTAAGTGTATTTGGTGAGCATGGTTGGTGGGAAATATGCAAAACACATTTCAGTTCTTCTCTTCCATCGTGGTTTAGTGCACAGACTTTAAGTAACAACTGAACAATGAGCGCACCGAATGACTAGCTTACACCCACCAGCATCTGTGCCTTACACTACTCGGGATTTATTGCCTCCCTTTGTCATGTGGCCTCGGTGGTCTTAACAATGGCCTCGGTAAGCACAGGGCCTCCCTACCCACGGATGCCGATACTCATCTGCCAAGCCATTCATCGCAGACAGTGTGTGTGCACTCCTAGCGTTTACAACGCTGATATTTTTGGTTGTGGCACAGCGAAGACTCAAAAAAAATTTTTTGAGGCATTCTACATTAACTGGGAAACAACGGCATAAGTGACACCTTGCTTCACTCGTATGTGAATAAAGCACCTTTAATTAATTTTTTTTACTATTTCAAAGTCGAATATGGATTTTAAGAAACCTGTATTTTTGTATTGGTTTTGAGTAAAAATACAGTGGGCAGAGTGTTATGCTCTGAAAAAAAAAATAAGTGTGCAAAGGACATGTTGCTTGCACTAGCAATTGGTACCAAAGAGCTCTTCTAAACGTTTCGTCGTCTAAGCACAGCCTCCTTGTCAACCTAGGGCTACGACTGCTGCCCCATGGTGTACGAGTACAGCAAGGACCAGATAACCTTTGTCGACAAGCTCGACAAGTCGCAGCGCAAGGAGGTGGATGGCGTCAGGTGAGAGTCGCATTCAAGCTGCCGAAATTTTTTTAGTGTTTCTGAATTTTCGCCATTTTGGCGTTGTGTGTTGGAAGTATGAGAAACTGAAGCCCTGGTGGGCATTGTGGTTTGTCCATGCACAATGGGCCAAGCCTTAGTTTTTGCCCTCGTGGTGGTGTGCAGTGTAAGAGAGCTTGGCCCAAGCAAAATTTCGTGGGCAGATGTGTGCCGGGAAAATATGTTCCGTTTAACAGGAGTTTCACAGGAGAATACAGGTACGAAACTAACCATATTAGAGGCAGTCGTTCTGTTTACAGTGGAACTTCAATTATATGTCTCCCGGTTTCGTGACGGCCTGCATTTTACGATGAATCGGTTTGGTCCAGGCAAAATCCCCATAGAAGCAATGTATTAAAAACCTTGGTTTATACGACGCAGTTTTACGTCGACCCCGCATTTTACGACGACTTTCACATTCCGTCGGAAAATAAAAAAAACACCTTTACTTGAATCACGTGTCGACCAAATATTCACGAGTGCAAAATATGAACTTGCGTACCCCAAGGAGGACTACAGGAAAAGTAGTCATCTTCATCGAATGGCAAATTTATTTTCTCAGAAGTTCATGCACTTCTACATACGCCTCAATTGCGTGCATATGTATCCGGGGTCGTTACCTTGTCCAGCTCTATCCACATAGTGTAGGTTCAGCTGACCGAAAAGCTGATATTGTCACATTATAGGTCCGTGGAAATATTTCCTTGTCGACATATGGCTGATCTCCTGCCTCTGTCGCACTCACAGTCACTGGTATGCGCACACATTGGGGCATGACGCAGCTGCTTTTGCCGTGCAAAATTAATTTCACTTAACGTCAATGCTCATAACAGCGGGACACCACTAGTTACACTTCACGAGGCAACAAATTGCAACGCACACAGCTCAGTCGTGCACGAACGCATTGTACTTAAACTCGTTGTCCATCGCCATTACGCGATAGCGTTGACACTGCGTCTGACTCTTCTGATGCGAGGCTCACGGCAACACTGTTTTGGTTTCGTTTTCACACGCTGGTAATTTTCGGGCTCTATTTATCGGTTAAAAGGTGCGCATTGGATTTGATTGTTTTTAAGGCTGAGAATAAAGATTTGCTCGTACCTCCTTCAATGAATTACTGCTGCTATTAGCTACAACTGGGAAAAATAATTTAATCTACCCTCGTTGCAGAGGGTAGGTTAAATTAAGAACAAGAAGATTAAGAACAAGAAAGTCGTGCCACGGGCTTATTCAGGTAGCCTGTACCCATTTTTCAGGCAAGGCTCAGTGTTGCGGTTTATAGCCTTACTTTTTCGATTATACGACGGTTTTGCGTGGTCCCCTAAATGTTGTATAATTGGAGTTCCACTGTACTCGGCAGTTTTATGTCACATTTTCATTTACTGAGAGTCTCTTCTACACTCAAACGTCATTATAATAAAATTGCATCTTGCAAGAAAATAAGTTCTTTACATCCAAAATTTTGTTAAACGGTTGTTTCTAACATTGTGTCTATTGCAAAACTTTTTTTAATTGACTACCTTATAGCCGATATTTCATTAGATCCTCGTTCGATATATTGAGGTTTGAGTGTATATTCTGTAAGTGACCGATCGTGGGGAGTCGTACCAGTCTTAGGCAGCAGCAATCCTCAACAGAGATCCAAGTGTTTACGGTCAGGTGGTGCCACAGGAGACTGCACAAACAGCTGCTGAAGTGACTGCCATGTAGCGAACCTTTAATTCATTAAGGATGACTGCCAGTTGGGCGTGTTGGTAAAGGTTCATGATGAAACAAGGGTAAAAATACACAAACTCAGAGAGGACACAGACAAGCGCTTACTAGCAACTGAAAATTTTATTTTGAAACGAACACTAATAAATATATCACACGCATGTATGTCATTCCCGACTTCCCCTGTCATCAACGTGATATAACAAAATATGCACTATAACAAAATATGCACTCCCATAATCTGTGGCACACAACCGGAAACAAACACGTGTTAAGAACTAAGAAAAGAAAAATTAAAACAGAAATATAAAATGAAAAAAAAAAGAAAAAACTGCGTAAAACAGAAAATGCAAAAAAAAAAACACAAAAAACACTGGGTTATGTGACGTCCAAAAAATTTATGTCGTGTGTCACTTCTAAGAGTCTGTATTGTGCTGATGTGTCTCCTCCATCGTGCACAGTGATAATGTGGTAGCCTCTGGAAGCGGCCAGCACAGCTCGCCGGATGATGACCCCGAAGTTATCAGCCCAGCTGCGTATGTGAGCAAATCCTGTGTGTTTGGAAAGAGCCTGCTCATCCACGAGGCACACCTGATAATGCTTGAGTAGAAAAGACTAACGTGATTGCTTGCATCTTCTCTGTGTGGTAGCCTTGCGAGCAGTGTAGCAGTGTACTAATGGCATCTTGGCAACAAGGCGGAGGCTACGGCAGCTACACACCTCTCAGGATAGTCCAAGGTCACTGTGTTCCTCCTTCGTAGAGGACACTGCTCTGCCTACGACATAAGTTACCTCATCTTGATTGAGTACAAGGTAGTAGAAAAGGTAACATTGTGCCACCTACTTTCGCTGTTACCCCTGCTGTTGCTGTGTTGGTTTGCTGTGTGCACTGTGTTTAACAAACTTCACAGTGTGCTTGGCTTGGCATTTAAAGGAAGTCCTGAATCAGTTTTTCAGGTAATCATCAAATGAGCATAGAATTGGAGTTTATTACCTCACAGATCGATTGCTGAAACAACTTATTTGAATATGCCAAAAACGAGCAGATTTACAAGGATTGACCCTACGCTCTCTCTGATCATTATCTAATCTCTCATTTCATTATGACGAGCGCGTTGGAAGCTGCACAAGGAGTGGATGACAAGGAGGGAAGAACCTATGTCGGCACATGCCATGACTATGAGCCCGCATCGTAAAATGTAATCACTCTCTCTCCTTAAGATTTAGACACACGACATTGCCGGTACCGTGTTGCACAATTTTGCTGCACTGCAGAGCTTGAAGCTGGCATGTGAGCAGCGTGTGGCAAGTAGTGTGTCCGATCTAAATGGCCCTCTTGATTTAGGACAGCTCTAGGCCAATAGCTGTCAGCAGCTCAGAAGAGAGTGTGGAATGCGGAGTCGGTTAAGGACGAATGCCAACATAAAACGTAACGATGTTTATTAACCTGGTAGCAACAGCAGGGCAAGCATGCCGATGCTGCGCTTGAACGGTTTGAGAAACAATCATGAAACCAAGCTTGGTAGCTTGGGTTATATAGCAAGAGTAAAGACAGACCTCTGTACGAAAACAACGTGCCTGGGAAAGTAGACAAGATGAAATCACACTTGTCTAGAGTGGTGAAGCGCATGGCTGTGGATGCTGTTGTCTCAAGCTGCTACCTCACGTAGCTACAAGCTTCCCGTTCATGCTTGGATTATACCGCAAGGGCCTAGCATGCAGTATGACTATGTTAGGTATTATTACGGCATTGGTTTTGGATATTTCTTCAGAAAACGGCAACTGAAGCAACTGGCCTGGTGCTCTAGTCAAGTATGATTCTGTCTGTAACTATGCATTTCACTTATAAACTCTCTTCTTCTGGCACACAACTGCAAGGTGTGGCTGAGATGTTCACAGCAGTGTTTGCTTTCTTCTGTATGTGTTTCTTCACCAAGGAGATGGAGCAGTTCAGGGATCTCTTATGTTTCTTAACACTATTCCTGATTGGTTTTTGTTATGTGGAGTTAAAGCAATCGAAAATTTTTATGTGCAGGTACTATATTTTTTTGTCACTTTTGGGAATACTTTGACCTTTGTGTGACATCACGGTACACTGCTGAAGTGATGAGTGTTCTGCCTACTGGCTTAGCCAGCGAACATTGACAGTAGTCGATCCACGACAAGGCCTTGGATCTTCATATCTCGTTTGGCTATGAGGATTGTATTGCAATTTCATGAACGGTGAGGCAGAGACACGCGGTGATATAGTATGTGGCAGTATGCGTTTATTGGGAGCTAACTTAACGATCGAAAGTGAAGCAATGTCTAGGTGACAATTACAGGTGCAAGCACTGAATTGGAATACAGTTTAACCCCTTTATAAGAGGCATGCTGTATAGAGCAATACTTGTTTTTTTTTATTTTATTTATTTTTTTTTTACATACTGCAACCCGTAAGGGCTATGGCAGGAGTGGGTAACAGGCCGGTACAAAACATGGTGTAATACTTTGCGCAGGAAAGCAAAATACAAAGTGGCAATACATGGCATCACATGGTGGCATAATGAAGACATGGTGGCAAGGAAGAGAACACAGTAAACACAGTAAACAGTGAAACGGAAAAAGACAAACTGTCAAAGGGTATTTATGGATAACTAGAATTCATTTAAGGGCAAAGAACGTATGTCACCGGATAAGTTATTCCAAAGTTCAACAGTTCGTGGAAAGAAGCTAAATTTAAACGTGTTAGTACGGGCGTAGAATGGTGTCATATTCAAAGGATGGTATTGACGTGTTGAAGAAGGTCTGGAACATGTTAAGTAGAGATCTTTTGAAAGTTTGCACGTCGAATAAATTATGGAATGTAATAACTTGAGAGACGTTCCTTCGCGATGAAAGTAGAGATAGGTTCAAAGATGGTAATGCTGACGTAGGTGAAAAAGCAGATTCATAAGGCCTGAAGATGAATCTAATGTTAGACGAGATGTCTCTTACAAGCAGGGTACCTTGTATGCATTTTCTTATCCGCCTGTATTTTACTGCATACTGATGTCTGTTATACCCATTTGTCTCCTATGTCAGTGTCTCTAAGAGATTGGTTTGACTTTACCGCTGTTTTATGTGCATGTTATCAATCCAGACTAGGTCGTGCTTACATATATTAGTACATTCAGATTAGGCAGGCCTGTCTTATCAGCAGATTGGCAACAGTCCAATAACAGCAAGTGGGGTGCCTTGCATGAGCACATAAACACTGATAGTGTTAATTCTGATGTCAAGGCAAAAAAACAGTACATAAATTTGCATGACTATGTATACCATTTTTTAAAGATTATTTGCCTGTGAATTTGCATGCTTGTACTGAATGTCACTGGGCAAAGACAGATCTTTTTTGTCTTTTTCACCCAGTTCTGTCATTTCTTGCACCCAGTATGTGCAGCCACATATTGTAGCTAACGTCAGCTTGGAAACCCACCCCTGTGGTTCAGTGGTTAGGTAATGGTGCTTGACTGCTGACCCGCAGGTATTGAAGCTCGACTGTGGCAGCCGCTGTTGAATGGAGGCGAAAAGCTAGAGGCCTGGGTGCCTAGATTCAGGCGCACATTAAAGAACACCAGCTGGTTGAAATTTCCTGAACCGTCCACTATAGCGCCCCTCATAATCATACAGATCGTTGTTTCGGGACGTCCCGGCAATGATACAGTAGACTTTCATTGAACTGAACTTCAAGGGACCGGGAAAATATTAGCATCTTCGGCTGAGGTGCACTCGCACTGCGACGGTGAAAGGGAAGTTACGTCAAACACCAGCAGAGTTTCATGCCCCACCACGGGCCAGACGTGTGAACCACAAGACTGGAATCCACAACAGCAGCACCGTCTGCGAGATGTGCCATTCAGCAGATGACGATTTCTAGTGACCTGTTTGTGCTGGGAATAAAAGAGCAAACGGCGAGAAACCATGCAATGAGATACACTCGCGAGACGCTCTGTGTCCAGGGGGTGCACGTCTGTTCTCCGGGCGGTTGTGCTGCATCAGTTCTGTACCAACTCAACGACGGTTATGATAGTTTTCGCATTGCCTTCAGTGTCCAGTGAAATCCTAGCACCAAAGTAGCCTTGTGCGAGTACGGTCGGACGATGTAAGCTCATGCACGTTTCTTCTGTCTCATCCCGCCGTGTTCTGCAGCAGTGCCAGCTGTTAATTACGCCTGAAATGATAGAACGTCACCGCCTCGTCTGCCAGTGTGCGCGGGCTGATGCAATTGCACCATGCTCCACCGCCGACTGCTGCGGTAGTGGGCACTCGTGTCGTGGCCGGCCCAGCCTAACATGCGGGACCGCATGCGTGGCTTCCAAACGAACTTGCAGCACCGCACGAGTGCACAGAAAACGCCACCAGTGCCGCCAGCCGAAGATGCTATATGTTCCATTTTACAGGAGTTTCGTTTGGTCAGAGATGAACATGGTTGCAGGATACAAGAATGAAACCAATCTTCTGCATACCGTTTGTTGCATTTAAGCAGCAGTTTCGTTTGCTGATAGTCTAGTGTATATAAATTGGAGAAGGGGCAGTGAGATTTTCTAATAAGTGCTGCTGTTTTGTGGCATAATGAGTTCATTGGCAATGTCACATTAGGCGCTCAAAACTACGTCATGGTGGTGATACCCACTGAAACCATGTACAGTGGCGCTCAATATGAATCGCAATGTGGTGGCCATGGTTGACAGAGCATCAAGCTTGTACTGTAGCACCGGCATGCACGACATTGACTTTGAAAACATGTGGGAAATGTACTTGACGTGTTCACCTTGTGGACTGTAAAATGCAGCTGCCGCCGATAGGCTAGAGCTTAATGAACAGCAGGCCCCGGTTTCCTGTTCTTCTTCTGCAGCCTCTTTCGGATGTCGCAAAGCTTTTTCAATTTCCGACGCAAATGAGAAGGATGGAGTTCACTTCAGCCCTAAAAATGCAGCCACAGAAATTTGTTTTTGGATGCCAATCTCGGAGGCTATGCATGAAATCTGATCACGCCACCCCTCTATTCATATTTAATATAACTGACCACCTAATGCACCTAAAAGGTCAATACACATTCCCAACATTCCTCTCAAATATCTTGATGTATTCATATGCGAACTCATATTTGTGAAGTTTAGGTGCCGTGATACTGTACACTTCGTCCGCCTCCTTTCCCTTTGCACTGGATATCTCCTGGTTGGTTTAATGCGTCAACGTGGATCGAGAGCACCATGACGTCGAGACTAGTTGCTTTTTAGAGTAAAATGTGCTCCGCTGAAGTGGACAGGTCCATAAGGTGAGCGCATCGAGAATAGCTCTATAGTAGAAAAAAACAATGTTTATGTCATTAATTTTTATGTCGGCGGCGCCGTGCAGTGTTGACAATGCTCTGATCGCGAGCCGGATGTTATAACTGATGTTAGAACCAGCTGTACTTGTCAGCCTGGGCTTTTGGTAGACACTTGCAGAACCAGTGTGTAATGTGACACTCTTCAATGTGCAGTGCCATGCGCAAGTTCCTCAACATGGACAAGCATGCAATGGAGAGCCGGGGTGACACCCTTCTGGACACGGCGCACCAAAATGCCATCACCCTAGTGACCCTGGTGCAGGGAAAGCGGGACAACGCATCGCGCGTCTGCTCCCAAGGCATGGATGGAAGACTCATATTGTGGGACATCAAGGTAGAATAGAATACTGTTTTTTGGTCATTACTCTCAAACTTCAATATTATAAAATATTGGTTACAACGAAGTGAATTAAAAATAGTCTTGCAATAGATAAATTTTTGGATGTAACTAACTTAATTTCTTGCAAGATGTAACTTTGTTATTGTGAGGTTTGAGTGTATATGCAAATATTTCATAGGCCTTACAGGGGCGCTGTGCCAGAGGTATCAGATACAAAGGTAAGAACAATGCAGGTTAGTATCAAAAAGTCGAGTGCAGCAAAATAGGTGTAAGTGCAAAGGTAGTGACATCTGACGTTCGATTACTAACATTACGTCCGCCCTGGTGGAGCAGTGGTTGCAGTGCTCGGCTTCAGGCCCGTTGCTCGGGGGTTTAATCCCGGCCGTGGCGGTCTAATTGATGGAGGCGAAATTCTAGGCACCTGTGTATTGTGTGATGTCAGTGCGCGCTAAAGACCATCTGGTGACCGAAATTTACGTAGCCCTCCTTGACAGCGTCCCTCATTATCATGTTTTTCGGGCATTTAACACCTGATATTATTATTAGCAGCAGTGCTTCAAAGCACGGTTTCATTCCCTCAAAAATGGCATACATGTTTCTGTGAGATAGCGTGCAAGATTCAATAACCTCCTTGTAATGACTTCAGGTGTACAGAGCTTAGTTTAGCAATCGTGATAGTGTTGAAGTAGCGCTATGCGATAAATCACAGTCACATTTAGAATAACAGAGCTGTGCTAGTTGGTTCGTATTCATTCTAAATGTCTGTTTGCAAATACAGACACAAGGAGAGAGTCGGAACTATATAAAAGCCTACTAAAGACTGAAAATGCACATGGCAGAAAAGAAAAAAAGGCACGAAAACTTGCGTGTGCAGGTCCACAGATTAATCAGTCTGGCACGCATGGGAGTCAACGTGAAAGGTAACGTTTTATCTAATATTCATGCGAGTCAACGAATAACTTGCATGAAGAGGTAATCGATGATTAACTTGCATAAAGGTGAAATCAAAGGCTTGAACAATCTCATTCACATAGCCCATGGTGTGTGCCAGATTGATAGGTTTGCCTATTGCATGGGCATGCGCAGCCAAGTTTTTGAACCTTTTCTCTTTTCCAGCGTTCGAAAAGCCTCGAATTCCTTCTTGTGTTGGCATTTGCACGCCTGGTCTTTTAGAATGAGGTCGCATTCCGACAATCCCAACAGCGAAGTGTAGCTGAACCTTTGTTCCCTTCTGCTCAGATGTACATGCTTCTTTATCTTACTTTTTTTTCTTTTGACCCCAAGCAGACGCTGCAGTCCTCAATGGCAGGCATGCGCATAGTCTGACCTCCGGTCGTCGCAGTAGTCGACCTAGGGTGTGGCTGGAGCGAGCCACTCTACCCGTCTAACGTTGGCAAAGGACAAAAAGCGTGCGCATGAACCTGCCGCCACAAGAGGACGGACAATGACTCCCTTACGGTCCGCAACAGTGTCTTCCACGCGGACGACGAGCCAAACCAGACGACAGCTTCCATGCCGACATGCTGCTGCCCAAGGCAATCGGGAAGGGCTGTGTTGATTTTTTTTATATATATATGTCAATAACTTAATGCGAGCATTGTTTTTCGAATCAATTGTTTCTGCTGCTGGTGACTGTCCGAGTATCTTTTGTTCTTATTTGCCCTTTCTGTACTTTTTTTCCTCCCCCCTCGCTGTGTACAGTGACTTTAAACGCTCATTAATCCAACTATTTTCTCTGCCGTCTTCGTGGCTTTTAGGAGTTGATTAATACAAATTGTCGTGAAAAGCACTCATTTTACGACCCTCAAATACCAGCATAGTAAAGCCTATTGCAAGAAAAGCGTGAAAAGTGCACCAGTGCATCTTTTTTTCTTGGTACTTGTGTAAGTCGAACTTTCATATGTTGAATAATGTAGTTGCCAGCGCCACATGGATTAAAGAATTGAATGTTGTTAAAGCAAAGAAAAAAGAATACAAGATATTGTTTACAGGCTCAGATTTGAGTACTGCTGGTGTTGCAAGAGTATTTTATAAAAGCTGTGTTGCAACTTGGCTATTCTCTATACACGACATAGATGCTGAAGCTACATTGTTGGCCTAGGTGAATCCTGGCAAATGTTTTCACCGGCACCTAGTAGTTTCGAAAAGCTTTTACGTTTCTGTGATTACCGAAATGATATCATTGCTGAAGCTTTGTAGAAATGGGAGTGTTTGCCGCAGCCTCTGGGAAAAGCCCACTGGAGCCAACTCTGAATGCGACAAGATTGCCAAGAAATGCAGTGCTGCGTGACATGAGTGGACATCATTTTAACATGCACACTGTTTTTCAAGCCTTCGATTGAACTTTATTACGGCAATGCCAATTCACCCTTCCAATATATCAGAGTAAATTAGTACACTCGGCAAAGTTACGGTAATATAGCAATCTCTATTGGCCGGTAGTCACAGTGGTACTCTGCCTATGTTATCAATAGGAGAAACCATATCCAAACAGGGATTATGATAAAGAAAATGAAGAATAAGCGATCATTACTACGTATACACCAGCCCACCACAAGTTTTTCCCGGTGCAAGCAAAGCCCACTTGCTACAAATTATTGACATCGTGACATATGCTTGAGCTGTCGCTACTTTTGCTTTAAATCTGTGTACAGAAGCAGATAGCTCAAGTTACTCTGGATTTATGATGCGAGTGGTGTTCAGAAGCAGATAGCTCAAGTTACTCTGGATTTATGATGCGAATGGTGTTCAGTCGGGTCAACCATTTGGATTCATTAAACTGATTCAAAGGTTGCGATAAGGGTGAAATAGGCTATTGTCGGGTTTCTTTCTTCCAGTCATTCCTTATTTATCGTAAAGAAGGTTGTGCGAGTGTTCTCCCGAGGCTAGCTTCTTGTCTGGTGTTGCTGCTCATGCCTGCAGGTATTGCCATCTTTGGCTTTCTATGGCTGAAAAACGGGCTCACATTTTGGCGCAATGTAGTTGCACTAATATCTATTTTGATTGTGACAGTGTAATTAGGAGATATACCAGTCATCTAAAACATCATGGACTTAGTGGTTAGGCACCTCCCTAAATTTTGAAGCTGATGTTGTTGCAATCTTTCTTTGTATTTGTTTTTATACATAAATCCAAAACCACAACACACAAACAGTTTCTCTCTCGCTGTTGGTTTTACATGTATTAATTGTTGTAAAAACCACGTTGTAATCAGTGAGCAGTGTCTCAGAAGGAGATGTTATTTATATTTGTGCGCATTAGAATTGCAACGACTTAGATGTATACACATAGTTTACTGCTAGAAAATAAAAGCTGTATGTCAGAAAAATAGTCATCTAAAGCTATCAATGAAGACCAAATATTTGCTGATGCCTGGTGAACCTACATGCAAATCACCATCAGATTTCACGAAAGCAGTAAACTGTCCCACTGTATATGTTTTAATAGCCTGAAGAAGTTTTGCATCACAATTCGGGACCAGCAGAACGGAAGCCTGTGAGATTGAGCCACATGTGGAGCAACCATGTACCAAAATTACCGTTCAAGACTTTCCTCTATGGGTAGGCCACACATGCCTTGGAAACTGTAAAAGAAAATGTGGATTTTCTCAGCTTTCAAGTTTCCATCTTGTTGAACTTGGCATCTGAATGTAACAAGCTCACCTTTGCAATGTTCGGGGTACTGATACAAATTTCTCGAGCTGAGCTTACCTCACCGCACAAACCTCCAGTATAGAGACTAGCTTTGAGCAAGTGTAAAGCTCAGTAAATGCCAATTAGGTATTCTATTTTGTCATGTCACAAGTGAAATGTGAAGCCGTGTCACTGCAGCATGGGTACCTTTGTCGAAGTTTTATTTTTCGTAGTTAGCGTATTTCTCGAAGTGTGCTCAATATTTAGACTAGGGCTGTGTTTAGGGAATGTTAGCTGGCACACCAAGACATACGAGGGCAGAATTATTGCTAGCTGTTGATGGTGTGTTATTTGCAGCAACACCAGCATGTGTTTTACAAAGCCGCTGTAGTGTTTCAAGCAGAAGTGTGCACACACTGACTGATCTCTCTATGTGAGTGTATCATCTGAGCTATATTTGATAGGTTTGTTGCATTATCAGTGGTTGAGAGTTTGCTTTTACAACACAAAGTGTACGTCAGGGTGGAAGCTGTTCTGTGACTGCGCAGTGCGTAGCAGATGGTGTTTGCCTGGCTAACATTTAATCAAATTGTGGCATTTTTCTTGCCCATGATAGACACTTGAGATGACTACAGCTCTTCTGGCACTGGAGCATTGTCAGCAATACCCTTGTCTCTTTCATCGTTTTGTTGTGTACCGCAGTTTATGGCTGCATTCTTGAATTTTGCATATGGTCCATGGTTTATGCAGAGCTTTGGCTTCGGAGAGTTGGTTTGTGGTTGAATTTATGGACAAGAAAAATTAAAAAATGTGCATTCTCTAGAGACTCGGAGCCCCACTGCCCTCCTCCCCTCCTCACGCCACATCATTTAGTTTGTGGATATGAGAAAGGGCAGGCATTTAAGATTGCGAAGTAGAGTGGAAAATAAATTACCATAATTTCTGTCGGTGAACTTAATGGTATTTGCAGGGGGGGGGGGGGGGTCTGTTTCTCTATCGCTGTAGACATTCCGAATCAGTGGTACATGTGTATGCGCTTGCAGTAAAAAAGCTATTTGCTAATATTTATGGCTAAAGTGCTATTGTAATGGTTTGTTTGAAGGAAAGGCAGTTCAGGAAGCACACTGTAGCAGTTGCAAGGTAATCACTTGAGCGAGATAGTGAAAATAAAACGTGCTAGCTTCTTCAGCCAATAAACTAGTAAATGCTGGTAAGCTGTTGAAGGCTGACTGCCAGGGAAACGTGTGCTGCAATTTTCGTTTGTCAATGCTTCGCATGTTTGTCTGAATGAAACAGTTGTTGATAGTGTCGCTGAGCCTTGGCCTGACTTGCTGGGGAAAAAGCAGTGTAACTGCTTAATTTATTCTTGTAGGTGTTCTGCATCTGCTATTCCTTTGTGCACTGTTTAAAAACTGCATTACGGATATTTCAACGATCGTGTCTCTATGCTGGGAGCCCTGGTCTCGAGGTTGTAAGATAATGACAAATAAATGACACATGCCTTTCTTCTCTGGGTTCTTCTGAGAATGGGTGGGACACTAAATTCAGATAGATTGAAAGTTTAGGCTTGTGTATTAATAAAATCACCATTGCTGGCAAGAACAGAATATTCTTGAGTGAAAAAAAAATTGGAAAAATTGGAGTGGCACCCTCGTGAGTTGTGTGGTGTCCCTGTTTTGATATAGTTTTCACTTGACGTCACAGGAATGTTTACAGTGCTGGAGGCCCTAAGAAGGCAGGGACTGAGACTTTTAGATGTGAAGCAGCTCTTTGACTAGCCTCTGTAACGCTGTGCCTCCGTACGAACGCGCCGCAGGTGTTGGTGCGGTGCCAAGTAGGTCACGCCGCTACTGCGCGCTGACGTCACATTCCCTCGCCTGCCGTGCGCTTGCGGCGGCGCCCGCAGCTGCCGCCTCCTCCGTTCGCCCGCAACACCTGCCGCGACCGCCGCTCGCTACACCGCCGACTCGTCGGTTCACGCGCACCGATAGTGCGCGTTGAAACATGTCTGTGTGCGTGTCACCTTCAAGACCTACGCCAGCCAACGCTTCAAACTAATCTTCCAGCGCTCTCAAGAGCACCCGCATTAGCGCCATTCTACCCGTGACGTCACCCGTGCGCAGCGCTGCTGATTCGCATCCCATGAGAGATCCGTGGACACGTTCGGACATCCCAGATCCGTTTGGACATCCCATGAGAGATCCGTGGACAGAGGGGGACACGTTCGGACCACACACATTTAGGGGGAAGGGTCGCCTCAACTAACATCTGACGGGGGCGTTGTTGTGACTGTTAATGTGTGCTCAGAGGAGTTTCATTCATTTGTAATAGGTGAACTACGACCACTAAAGTAAGGGAAGGAGGTGTTGACAGACTACGGGGGGGGGGGTCTCCCCTACCGCCCCCCCCCTCTGGATCCGTCGCTGGCCGTGCCAGGAAGGAACATACACAGTGATGGAAGTGCTGCTCCAAACTTGCTCTGAAGTGACACCGAGAGAACGAGAATGACTAACGTTCACTTTTTGACCGACTCGTAAGTCCTAAAGAAATTGAAAATAATCTGTGTTCTGTCGTCTCAGTGTGCAGCATTATCAGCTTTGACCCCATTTGTGCGAAAAGAACTGACAAGCATATAGCTCATTTGGCTGTCCTTTTTTTTTTAGCTCGACATCCAGGCTAGTGTGGTGAAGAAAATGAGCAGGATTGCTTTTACCTCATACCGATTATTTTCTGCTTATTTGGCAACTGTTATATGGGAGTGGGACTATGACTACTTCAAAAATGTGGCATTCAGCTTTTCCGGTCTGATATGATTTCTGTCACAAATTCTAGTATTTGAATTTTACATTGATTGTTGTCTCTTAAATACATTATTATTTTCGAGATGCTCCGACAATGCTCTGAACTCCAATTAATGTGCAGCAAATTTAATGTATTCTCCTAAAACACCAACAGCTGCTCTAAACTACCTTTTTTTTTCTGCTCCGAAAATGCTTGTGGCCGCCCCGAAACAGTACTTTTCCTGCTCCAAAATGTAAAAAGTCACTTCCGTCACTGCATACAGGAACGCGAGGACAGCGCCACTAAACTGATGTCGCCATTTGAGCTCGCACAGCATCGTTTCTCAACCGGTTGAGTGCCCAAAGATGGCGACCGCGATGACGTCAATGCAAATTATGTACAACTGCTGCTGCTATTGTATGAAAAGTAAATTAGATAATTTTTACGATGTTACAATGAACAAACGTGCAGTGAACCGCAGTTATTGCTAAGCATTGCAACCTTGGAGCTCTTGGACCTCCGCTGGTTGGCGGAAATCTGCAGCACAGATGATGACGTCGAGTCCTTCATTTGACGCGGGCGATTCAAATTGAGCAGGGGCAGAAAGGAACTTTCCGTGGGCGTTTTCGACGGACCAGGAACTTGTTTATACATGGAAACTTGTTTATACGTCTCACCGCGGGACTTTGGAATACAATCTCGGCATGCGATTATATATATATATATATATATATATATATATATATATATATATATATATATATATATATATATATATATATATATATATATATATATATATATATATATATGTGTGTGTGTGTGTGTGGGTGGGTGGGTGGGTGGGTGGGTGGGTGTGTGTGTGTAAAGACGGGACACGGGACGTTCTGTTTGCCAAAGATGCATAGGCGTATCAGCCGGGGGGGGAGCGCAAGCTCCCCCCCCCCTTCTGATAGAAGTTGACAGGGCTGAGCCCCGCCACTTTCGACAGGGGTCACTGTCGGCTGCATGCTGGGGAAAACAACTAAGGCAAAACTTTGATTCACCACATTAATCAGTCAATTACATTGTGACGAGAAAAAGAAAATATTATGAGGCAAAGGTACAATTTAGTGATATTTTCTAGCATTTCATCAGTGACAATTTTCCTTGAAGGTGCTTTGCGCCGCCGTTCGCCCTCTGCAGTAGCACAGCAGAGCAGGCTAGCGTTTAACAGGTGCCCTATATAATTACATCACTTGTTCATGTTTTTATTGTGCTGCGACTGGCCGATGCAGTTGTAGATGGGAACGAACAAACTTTTTATGGACCGGTCAAAGCATTTGCTGCTTCAGGAAAATCATGTTCTTTCATCAAAAAGTATTACCATCCCCGCTGCTCTGTCGAAGCTGCTGTGAGCACATCATTGCGACTAATCTTTCTAAATTATTTTAGTTTTGCCGTACTGGAAACGCCACGATTCCGCTTTAATCTCCGATAAATCGGATCTGTTTTGCTTATGGCAACTTGGAGCGATGGGGGCAGCTTGCAAAGCGGCGACAAATAAAGCAGTGGATTCGAGATCAGTGGAAAGCTAAAGTAAGTAGATAGAAATTCTGAAAGTGCATTTGGTTCTTCTAGGAGTGCTTCACATTGTGGGGTCTCGATATGGCAAGTGCCACCACGCTCTTGGAGCGAACGTAAACTGCAGACGCGGTCGGAACAAACCAAAACAACAACACATTTGTTTATTTAACTACTTTTAGAACGATGATATCGTTAGCCGAATAACTATAACGTCAATTGGGATCCATACGCTAAGACATCCTTACGCAATATTAAACAACACTCAACAACAAGGCAGACAAGGCGGTGTCGCTTACGCCTGCTCACCACGCTTGAGGCCAGGACGGGAGTACTGCGAACCAAGACATATCGGGCCAAATACGAAGGGGTAGTAGACACACTATGCAGTGCGTGTGGAGAGCAAGAAGAAACTGCCGAACACTTGATAATGTTCTGTAAAGGGCTTCACCCTATAGTTCAGGATGATGGCGCAGAGTTTTTCAAAGCACTGGGGTTTATGGACCGGGAGGGCAAAATAGACTTTAAGCGGGTAGACTTAACTAGAAGGAGGTTATCTGATTGGTGGCTAAAGTCAAGGCACGAGTGAAAATTAAACCCTTCGCTGCAAAGTACGAATCCTCAAACTCACGTTTTAAAGAAAAAAAATGCATCTAGTTTTTGGTTCATTAAGTATTACGGCTTGGTAGCGCTAGCCACCGCCCGATCTAAAGGGTACAGCCATATCCATCCATCCATCCATCCATCCTTCCACGTGGGTTCACCGCAGACGGCCCGCGGTGCCGTCCATGGCAGACCCACCGCTGGAAGCAACCGCCTGCTCTGCCACCCCACGCCAAAAGAGACAAGCTTATGTCTTGCGCGCCGCCACCTAGTCTCTCCGCCAGGCGTCGCCGCCGGCGCTAACGTTTTCTAACCAAGATGATGATAGTGGTGATCACCACTCGCGAACACAACGCCATCTGCAACTCCATAGTTGTGATTCTGAATAACGGCTTTTGTGCAAGACACGTGCGCCACGCGGCGGAAACAACTTTACAAAGAGTGTCAGCACCCCCCACAATACTTGAAACCTGAATTGTTTTTGAGCTGTTTTTAGTCACTAAAAATTTCATTCAATGATTAAATATGTCCTGTTGACGAGGCTGCATTCAACATAATTGTATTCATGCGGGAAGTTGTGAGGTAATGCATAGAAATCGTCGTGTGTAATATGACTACATGCATCATGCATGACAGACATATACGTGCTGTCCCAGTGCATGCTGCTTAAAACTGACTGTCCTTTTTCTACGCCATTGAACAAGTGCTTTGAGTATGAAAAATCACATGAAAATGCGAGCGCGTCGAAAAAGTTGTCTCTCCCTTAATATATATATATCAGCTGACGATTGCGGTAGGTTAGCCTCCCCCCCCCCCCCCCCCACTCATGGAAGAGTTGGTACGCGCACTGCAAAGATGATCACAAGTCCGTACGCTACCGCACAAAAACTGAGAACATAGCCTACGCGTGCATAAACTTGAAGAACGTCAAGACATCGAACCAAGTTTTCGTTATGGGGTTGCCTTTGTTGTATGCATGCAGCATTCAGTGACGAAATTAACGTGGTTTCAACGCCGTAAAATGTGAGCGGCGAAGAGCGCTGCTGTAGGTGACTCGTGCAAAGTTTTCACCCATTACGTGCGACGCCATGTACTTGGAGGATCCTGTTCCCCTAGTCAACACTGCATCGCTGCATGTTGCATAATGTCATGAACGATTCTTCTTCGTCATAAGCGCAGGGCAAACGACCGAAACAGGCGCACTACACCAAACGATCCTCCGCACGAGCGTAAACCTGCGCCCCCCCTGAAGGGGGCACATCTCTGCACATCTCACCAGCTCGGAAGTTCTACTGGCGCCCCTGGATCATGTCCGCTAGGAGCCCGAGAGGGGAAAGCGCCCGTTCCGTGCGACAGATGGCTACAACCGAGACGTGACCGTCTGTGAATATGTGTTTGAATTCCGATTTCCCGCGAAACGCCATCATTTCTCCCGAAGACTTACAGTACTTGCGAGAGGATTCACTGCAGTCATAAGACCGTTACTATAGACCACAGTGGTGGATCCAGGTCGCCCCTACCGTTTCCCCCAAAGCTTGTCAGGTATCCCCTCCCCCTGTTTTCAGTGCTTGCCGTCCATCTGCTATCACCAATAAGGAGAAATGAGTGGGATACCTCTGAGCACACAATAATAGTATTTATGTTATTATAAA